CGACAAAAGAGGCATTTGAAGTTAACCGGTATCGGCACTCTCGGGATTTGGCATGATCGTCTCTGATTCCATCCACGAGTCACTGATAGGGAGCACTTTTAACTAAGTGGATTGTTTTAATATTTAAAAAGTAAAGAATATCTTATGCTATTTTTATGTACGTTTTTTCACAAAACTATATTCATACAATCGAATATTTTGAACCAGGTATGTATAATTGTATATCGATCACACATTTTATTTTAACAAGTTTTTATAATTTTATTAGAGTATTAATTTTAGCTTTTATATTATAGCTAGCAATTTAGAATGTAATTGTGATATTGGAAATTTATTTCAAAAAGTTTTGGCTCGAGAGCTTATAATGAAAAAGAAAACATTATTAAAAGAGAAAGACCAATGCCTAAATTAAATATAAATAAGTCAACAAAAAAATTTGTTCGACATTTTCACGATAAAATTTATGAAGATATAAAATGGCTTTGTGGATGCATAAAAATGCAAAAATTAGTGTTGTAACGAATAGTATATTCGGCCTGAGGCCGAATACCGAATATTCGGCTTGATTAACGCACGTACGAAAATTGGCGCGCAAACCGCATTATGGCAAGGACCTGCTCTCCATTGGCCCACTGTCACTACGCTTCGCCAATCGCGTTAATTCTTGACAGTTGTAACGGACAGACAAGAGCGTCATGGCAGTATGCGATAAATGATGATATCAAATGTGAATAACAATGAAATGACCTACACGTGTAAATAACGGAAAAAGAAGAGAAAGACCGAAAGTGAAAATGTGAAAATAAATATGACATTGAGTTGATAGCATAATCGAACAAGTCGAAGCAGCTTATTGGCGCGAAATTTGCGGCTGTCAATGCCAAACAAGTGTTGTCATAGACTTCGGAAAGCTAAATGCTTGTATTGAAAGTCACTTAGCGTGCACGGGCGAAAGCCTGGGACCGTTCGGGCTATCAAGCTGTCTCGAATCTGTGAAATCATAACTGTGACATATACCGACATCCTATCTGTCTCTTTTCTCCGTTATCACAAGGCTATGAGTCACGTAATTATAAAATGGAAAAATTACGACGAAAAAGTGACGAATCGAAAGTATCGTGAGGGCGTATTATGATGTATGCATAGGCATACGTGGACTAGAGCGATAGAGGAAAGAGAAAGGGAAGAGCAAAGACGAGCGCTTAAAAAGAAGGATAGGCAGGGTCAGACCCTCAGATATGTGACGATTCTCAAACGAATAGGTGTGTACGTGTGCTGATATTTGTAATTATAAATTGTAAATATATGTGACCAATATTATTATTTTTTTATTTTGTGCATGTTACAAGTTATAAATAAATATAAACAAACAACACTAGCCCGATAACATTAAATCTAAATATCAAAATGATTAATTTACTGTGTTTTTGTTATTTCTTACTCCTGTTTTCAGGTATTCGGTATTCGGCCGAATAGTGATTAAATATTCGGTATTCGGCCAAATAGTGATTAAATATTCGGTATTCGGCCGAATAGCGAAAAATAGGCCGAATACCAAATAGTAACCGAATATTCGTTACATCACTAGCAAAAATTATTTTGTTGGCCTGGCCTACTATTTTCAAATGAAATTAGTGTGTGAAATAAGAATGGCTTTGACGATTTAAATAATTTGAGTAAAGGTGGCAAAAAACATGAAAATCGTAAATCTCCATCGATTCTTTCGTAAAATTGAAGCAATTTGGAAATCAAAATAGAATAGAATTTAACATTAGTACACAATATAAAATAAATATTGAAAATTATAACAAGATAGTTACAGCTAATAGACATATTATATTTTAATTAGTAGATATTATCGAAGCGAGAATTGGCATTTAGAGGGCGTAGAGAATCTATTAAATCTAATATAACAGAGTTAATTATATTGAACTTGCTTATTTATTAAGTGCGTTAGATAATCTATTAATTAAAATACATTTAGAGAAGTCTACGTTTTTACTGGCTTATCGAACAAACGAATACGAATGGACCCTAGACCAGTGTTTCTCAACGGGGACGATTTTCCATGTTGAGGGGGCGATTAGTAACAATTTATATTTTGGAGGGCGAAAAACAATTTTCTGGGCGATATAGTAAAACATTATATTAATAATAATTAGATATTTTATTCGTTATATGACTTATATCGTAAAATAATTAAACAAATAACATTATACTAGTCACTAGTCTATTCAATGCAGTACGAATTTGGCATTAGCTTTGGCTCTCGGCATCGGAATTTTGAAGTGAAGGGGGCGATACTACATAACGGTTTTATTGAAGGGGACGACAATTCGTTACAGGTTGAGAAACACTGCCCTAGACCATCACTGACTGATTGCCCCTGGAAGTCGGCTTGTTACAAAACACAGCTTCCCTATCATCAAATGTCACGGCACGGCCCTGGTTCAAAGCATTGGTTTTAATGATATATCACCAGACTTCTGATATGTCCCAAATTTGACTAATTTTCACATATTATTTGTCTGTGTGCAGAAACATTCATGATTATCTGATAAATGCATTACAATTAAGAAAATATACTGTCCTGTTAATACAGAGTGTCCCAAAAGTTTCCATACATATAAAGGTAAAATGTAACTTTATTCACAAAACATTAAAATGTCGGCATTAAGATTTGTGTCAATGAACTGACGGATTAAGGCAACAGAATACATAAGTGATCTGCCAATAGGATAACTTCTAGTAGGACTCCCTATGTGGAAACTGGATTCTGTTTAAGTGTTAAAACACATGAAGAAAACCCAGAACACTACATGGTGGCCAGCCCATTTGTCAGGCATGAACCAATGACCAACTACTAGTGTTCAATGGTTTTATTTATTCGGCCACTGGTGGGCTCGATTTGTGTCACCGTATGGAGACTTTTGAGACACTCTACATCAGGGGTGGCCAACCTTTTGCATACCATGCGCCAATTTTTTGATAGACGAGTTCACATGCGCAGTGGCGTACCGTGAGTGTTAGCAGCCCGGGGCGGAGAAAAATTTCGGCCACCCCTTATTTAGGTATTTCAATTTATAAGACGAAAATTCAGATTCGCCACAGAACAAGCAATGAAAAATGTGGTTGTAGTGTAGCTACCCGTATAAAATAGTTCAATATGACACCAGTGGTACATGAACACGAATGCATCGTGTAACGTACACGCAAAAAAAAAAAGATCAACAGGTCGATTGCTCCGAATTGTGTAAGAAGTGCACTTGCCAAGACACACTGTCAAAAATTAATTTAAATTAATTTCCTATGTAATATTCATAATTGCAATGAAGCCAAATCTGGCAATGTTGCTCGGAACCGACTTAAGCGCCACTTGTAGTCGTCCAATGCGCCAAGTTTGGCGCGCCACGTTTCGGCCACCCCTGCTCTACATATATAAAGATATTTTTGTACTTCATTTAAAAATTATCCTGTATTATATAATAGGTGTGCATTATATTAAATTTCATTAATCACAAAGATAAATGATAAATTTTAGATATTAGAAATTTACATAAATTCTGTTTTTCCTATACAAACCAGTTTTATTTATTTAATCTTTAAGTTTAAAATATTTAAGAATTTATAAAGTTATAAAAATTCTCTTATTAAATTACATGTTTTCATTTCAAATATTTCAAATGCATGTGTGAAAAAGTATGATGTGTGCAGTCTCTTATTTGAGCCATTTCAAGTTAAGATAAATACTTTAAAAATATCAAAAAGGTTTTAAAAAAATTGTAAATTATTTTGTTTTTATTCAAAACTTTATCTTAAATTATCCTGTATAATTTACTAATAAATGACTATTTCTTATATGTAGTAGTGAAAAAAATTCTTGCTTAACAAATTGAACATATTAATAAAGTCAGCATATAAATCAATGTGCAAGTAGGTTAAAGTTTAAATTGTTAAGATGCAAAAACACATTAAAGGACTATATTAGATTGCTTCAATATTCATATCACCTGATCAATAGTGTGTTGACACCATTTTACAAGATTGTCACCTTTATCCTGCATCATTATTATTCTTTTGCTTTAATAATAGAAAAATTATCTTTTCAATACTGAAAATGATCCTAATAAATTCTGTTTTATTATTTGTAAATTGAAAATGAATAAAAGTTAAATTTGAAATTAATTAAAAATCTACTAATGTGAGGTAGATAATAAGGACTTATCACACCAGTTATAATTATCATCACCAGTCCTTATTATCTATCTCACATTAGTAGATTTTTAATTTAATTATACCAAGGGCAAAAAGCAATTTCTTTATATTAAATTTGAAACATCACAAAACATCCTAAAATATGCAATATCATATAAAGCAGAGGAAATGAGAAACTGTAAACAATTGGGAATGACCAATCAAAAATTTTTAATGGTTACAATTTCTACTTTCCCTAATAAATTTACACAATTTGATAAATTTGCATAAATGTATTCAAATCTTATACTTTATATTTTAATTTTTTAAAAATAAATGTAATTAGATATTATGCACACAATAAAAATTTTAAATATATTTTTAACATATTTAAAAACTAAATGTAAGTTAAAATATATAAATTTGTTTTAATAAAAAAGCAATTAATGATCTGTATAAGTGGAATATTTTAACCTCAAAGAAATTTATCATTTCTATCAAAGGCCTTGTTAACAACAACTGTAAATGCAACTTCCTGTTTTCTCTCTTCAGGTGAAATACTTGATTCATTAAAGAAATTGCATAATCTTTATATAAAAATAATTTATAATCTTTTCTGTAGATTTTCCTTTTGTTTACCTAATACAAAAAAAATGTTAATAGAACTTTTTATAATTTTGGACTTGCACTTAACCAAATTAACATTTGAATTCAATTATTTTCATTAACTCCACCTTAAATATTTATCAATATTTTAGTTATTTACAAAATTACAAGTTATTATATAAATTTACACATATTTTCAAATAAACTATGCACGAAAACATTATTAATGAAAATTTATTATTGAGCCATTATTGCATCATTTATGTATAAAAAAATTGTTTTATAAAGTGGATTTTAAAATAAACAAAACTGGTTTGTTATATGGCTCCTTGTACTTTTCTCAAAATAATGATAGTGTTTTATATTAAATTTATACAATTAAAATACAACAAAATGGAAAATTTAAACGAAAATTTTTAACTTGTATTCCTTTTGTTCCTCATTAAATATAAAATTTATACTCTTTTTTGTTGTGTTAAGATTTAACATCTTAATATAAAATTATTCTTCAAATTAGTCATAATATTCAACAGAAGAGTTTCTATGGCACTAAGCAATAGACTCAACGTTATTGTGGAAGATAATCATGTTTAAGAATGCTTTTATTTACATTTTTCTAATGAACTTGACACGCCCTCACCATTATCAGCATCAACAAGATAAACAAAGGCGAAAATATCTCAGAATATAACAAGTTTTTCTGTCCCTCCAGTTTTAAGCATAACAGTAACTTAAAGAGAAATATCAGCATGAGTTGAACGAAACTCCACAACGCTCTGAGTCCAGCTTCCCTGTATGAATCTTCTAAACACTGTCTAATGAAAACAATAACACAGAAATATGCATTCAAACTGTCACAGACAAAAAGAGGAACGAATGCTGTCCACCATGTGACGTCGACAGCATTCTCTAACTTAGTTACAGCTATGAATGAAAATAATAATATAGATATTAAGTTCACCAGCATCTCGAAAACGGTGAGTCCCAGCCATTTTACCAGTTCTTTTATGCTAAATATCATCGTTTTTACATCACTACATCACAGCTATCCTCCATAAACACAATGCTGCCATGTTCAAACAACTAGTGCCACCTTACGGAACATTAACATTTAATAAAATTGTTTATTAATTTAAAAAAATTAATAATAATTTACGAATCTGTTAAAATAATATAAATTGTAAATTTTAAATAAATAATAATATATAAAAATTAAAACATATTTTGATTTTAATTTCAATTTGTTAAAATGAAAATATAGTACAGTATTTATAATGGTGGCATTCGTAGAACTTTCTTTAAAGTAGTCCGCCATTGTTTGTGCGGATATTTACTTCGCTGCATTAAAACACTTTAGTATACCATATTTTTCCATTTTGTCTGTCGAACATAAAAATGAATGAAAATATAAATTTAAAATTCGATGAACAAATCTTGTAATTGTGGAAGAGCAAAAGAGAATTACAGATACAGAATATACCACATATAAATGTTTACGCATCTCAGTTCTGAATCACTAGTATACTTTTTAGTTAAGGCAAACATATTTAGACACCCTTACAATGCTGCATCACTGAACTAAAGCACTACATACTTTTGGTTCGCTGAATATGTCCAATTTCATCGGCATATTCAGCGATCGAGCCAGTGACATAGATCATTTCAAATAAAACAGGTCCTGCATATATTAAGAGGTTTTTTCAAGTGTATCGTGAGTTCGGAAGAGTCCACAATGAGGCGGCCGGGTGGCCCAATACATCTGGGACAAATCATCTACGAAAAATTCTTGTGGTTTTCGAACGTCCAGATTTCATTCTGAGTATTTTAGAACAGCAAGTTGACGCCCTAATCGCTAAGGTCATCCGATATTTTTTGCTAAGAAATTAGTTCTACTTTCGTTTTTTTGTTTTATTTTAATAATGTACTTTTATTAATTTAACTATTTCTATTCTGTAGACATCAAGAAAGCTCCCTGGTGTGTTTAACACGCTACCATAGGCATGACAATTTTTATGCTAAGCCCATAAAGAGTGATCAACTGGTGAAGGATAGGGCCTGATATATCCAAGTCGAATCACAAATATAAATTTCTAAAGATCCAGAAATGAACTCGAATCTTAGAGCCATACTTGGCCGTCAGAATAATATAGTAGTTTATTGTGATACAAGATCATGCACACGATCGTTTTGGGGTTTAAACCAATTTGGGAAAAAATCGAAAAATTAGATTAAAATACAAAAAAACACGAATATAACATATTTATTTTGTACCCGTTCAAGTCATTCTTAGATTAAGTTTTACTTTCTGGTACATTCTACTCTGTGGGCAGTAAGAGGGGCTGGATTAGTAGGACGAAGCGAAACAACACAGGGGCGATCGGCCAAGGTCATCTGCTTCCGGGGAGGAGGTTTAGGCTGCAAGAAGAGCCTGTCTGAACTAAGCCTTAGATGTTACACACGTAAAGAAAACTTTGCCACCCATTTGGTTTAGGCGCAAATCCGCGAGTGCTATTTTATTTACTCGGCCATTGGTGAGCCGGTGTAGTTGTTTGGCAGAATCACACAATGAGGAGAAGTTCGACACTGTTTTAAAACTTTACATGCATATTCTTAAACGCGCATATATGTATTTTTTTATTTTTACCAAACTAACAGCCATCAAAAGAGTCTACTGGTTGGTTTCATTTTAACTAATCTACTGGAATAATTCGAAAAATATGCATCCTGTAAAATAACTTCTTAAACCTAAAACGTTAGGCTTCAAGGTAAACAAAACGGCGCTACAATCGATAAAGAATGGGATTAACTTCTGATACGAGACCTTCAGAAAATTATCAACGACATAACGACATAAGAGATGCTTTAAGTTGCAATCTCCTCATCTGTGCACTGATATTTTAAAACGTTACTTTCAAGTCTATACCAAAACATTGTCACAACTATGCCATTTTAAAAACCTTAAAGAAAATTTTAAATAACGCTTTTTATTTACATAAATGCATTAAAAAATAAACAGTAAATTTTTATCACTTTTCATAGTATTTTTGATCATGCCACGCCAGGCCAGGGATCAAACTTTTATACAGAATTTTAGGCTTATTTTTTGTACCTAGAATCTACTCCTAAAATATTAGCACCGAGTTCAGATACAACTTGTATATACAGTAAATAGGGTGGTTAATTTTTGCCATCCGGGTTGGTGGCGCAGGCGTGGGGTGTGCTCCATACCTGAGCATTCATGTTTAAAAATATTCCCAGTTATACTTTCTAGTAATTTTTATGGGTTTTCCATAAAAATTTTTGGAAGCCCAAGCTTATATTTTTGGTTGCATAATACCAAGAATACTGTGAAAGCTGAAAAAAACTGATTTTTTAAATTTTTTTAGTAGATTTATGTAAATAAAAAGCATTTTTTTAATAGAGGAAAAGGTGGTATTATAGAACCACTCCAATTCAAACTGATAATAAAGGCGAACTGTAGCGGATTGTGGCTGAACTGCACTAGGCAGACATCCGTAGCAAGAAGAAAACCCGTTTCACTTCAGTTAAACGGTTGTCTGTATTTAATCAGCATATTTTTGTTTTTCAAAATTCGAAAGTTTTGAATGCTAAGTGAATTTAATTATTTTTAAAATATAAATCGTGTAGTTGTAGGTTCACTGGTGCATGTATTTCGTTCCAGAGACCTAGAGGTACATATTAATCTGTGTGATGTTCACGTTTTTTTTTTAAATTTGGTCTTGACAGACATAAGTTAATTCAAGATGGCGATTCCATTGGTGCTTTTAATATGGACCCTATTGGTGCTTTTAATATGGAACCCAACTCTTCCGAACTCTCTATTTGCAAGCAGACATTCGTCCGGAGCAATTTGTGAAAAAGACACTAGGTAGAAAGCCAATTCTTGATGAGAATATCGAAAAAGAGCTGCTGGAATATATATTGTTGATGGAGGTCATATTTTTCTATTAGAAAAGCATTTTTTCGATAAAATACATTGGAGTAAATGATTTTGTAATTATTTAACATTCTTTGTACTTTCCTATTTGTTTTTGGATACATTAAAGCATTTTTTGAAAACATACAGTAAGGTTCCATATCACCACCCGGTTTTCCCTAAGCCTACTTTCTGACTTTTTGTACAAAAGCCTTCAAAAACCATACTTATAGTTACACTAGCGAAAAATCCAATTAGGAACATTTAGTTTAATAGTTACCAGTATTTTTCGTACAAAAAATGTGGGTGTAATTATGATATCTTGTTTACAATTCCCTAAAATTAAAATGGGGTTCCATAATACCACCTTCTCCTCTACTGTTTTATAATTTTTATTTTCTATTTTTTTACTTTTATACATAGGGAACGCTGAATAGTAAAAAGTTTTAGTTTGATATTTAATTGGGAAATGGATGAAAATTAAGTTACAAGATTTTTATCCAGATAATAAGCAACGAGCTATAATATACTACATAGAGTGGCTGAAGCAACGCCATGTATGAGGAAAATTGAATAGACGTCCGCCATTTTCTTTTTTAGCCAAGGAGCGTGGCATTTGTATTGTGTAGAGGCAATCAGTTGGAATATTCCAACTCGTCGATAGTACTCGTCGTTGCCACCAAGAACGCTGTAACCACTCCATGTAGCATATTCTAGCTCGTTGACAGTATAACTAAAAAGTGGCATAGATACATGTAGCGGCATCTGTTATCAGATTTTATTTAGCATCTGTTATCAGATAAATAAAATTTTAAATAAAATAAATTTAACTTGTTTTCAGTCTTAAAAAATGTATTGCTGTCGAGTATACATGTGTATGCAAAGTTTCAAGTAAATTGGAAATTGGGAAATGTGTGAAAATTGAGTTATTTTTCTGGACAGACAACGGACAGGCATCCGGAGTAAATTAATAAAAAAAATGTATAAAATAGAAAGAAAAATGCTTAAAAATCATTAATAAACTATTATTATTTGATGATTCAATCATTTGAACAAAAGACGTTCATCTTGGTTGGTTTTTAAAACCTGTCTTAAGCTCAGCTTGAAATCATCTTACATATTCTTTAATTAAATTCCTTTGAGTCTCAACTCCAGCTTTAGTATTCCTTCCAGCGTTGCAAGATTCGGCTACTTTGCGCCAAATTTGGCTACCCTTTTATTAGTTTGATGTAAAAAATGTCAGTTGGCACATTGGCTACTTTTTGGGCTACATATTATTTATAAATATATTAGTTGAATAAAAATGCACTGTAAAATGGTGTTTAGTCGTTTTTTTTTTATTAATTAGAGCAGTGGTTCCCAACCTTTTTTCATTAGCGTACCCCATGACATGTCATATCTCTAGATTGTACCCCTCATTTAAGAAATTTAGTGAGTACACGTATTGTTAATTTTACATATTGTAACTTTAAATTAAAGAAAAAAAAACTAAATGAAAAAATGTATAATAAAGTTGTGATTGTTGCAAGGAAATATTTTACGTAATAATTTTTTAATACTATTAGTTTGTGATACATAATATATTATTTTTTCTGCCATAATAACTAACTTTTTTCTGTACCCCTAAGCAACCACAGGTTGGGAATCGCTGAATTAGAGACTTAAATAAAACAAATATTTGTGCTTTTCAAATAAATTTTTGTCTGTCTCCTTTATAATAAATGAATTTATTTATTTCTAAGTAAAATTGAAAGTGTCTGTAAAAGTAATTTTTAAAAATATTCTTTTTTGTGGTAAACTTTTAATATTTATTACTATAATCTGGACATGTTAATACTTAAATATACTTGTATATTCAAGGATTGGGCCAAAATATACTTCTGGCCCAAAACTCCATGACTTCTTCCAATGTGGCCCAGAGAAACAAAAAGATTGGACACCCCTGATTTAAATTAATTTAATTTATTTTAATTATTGTTATAATAATTATTTAATAATTTAAATATTAAAACAATCCACTTAGTTAAAATTGCTCCCTACCAGTGGCTCATGGATGGAATCAGAGACGATCTTGGTAGGTGTGCAGTGCGTGCATGGCTGCCAAAATCCCGAAGGTGCCGATAGCGGTTAATGTCAAA